TATATATATATATATATATATATATATATATATATATATATATATATATATATATATATATATATATATATATATAGCATTTCTATCACAAAAATGGATAAAATACTAGAGGGAAATACAATATCTATTTGCTCACATTCACAGAATCTTTTGACGTACGATTAAAAACTCTTATTTTTCTGTCAGATATATATTATTAGATAGAGATGTACTGGAGGATACAACATAAAAGCCATCGATATAATATTGTTGTGGTATGTGATGCATCAAATACAGATAATCTAAATCTAATTTTTATAATTGGTCTAAAACTCACAAATGAAACTGACCACAATCTTCTTGTATCTTTTTCTGGACTAAAGGATTTGAACGAGCTTCCATCTAAAATACATATGCTTCTTACCTTGTAAGCCTACTTCCCGTTACAGAGTCTTACTTATTTGGCCTACCACATGAACAGCATAACGATGCGATATGTTGCAAATTGATCGCATTCTGTAAATAAGGGTGGCCGGATAGGCAGTTACTATCAGGCAGGGTTGTGACCAGTAGTATTATATATAGACATTCAAATGAAGAGATTGAATGGCAGCTCTTTAAAGGATCGCCACCTGGCAGTAATTTCGTATTGGCCAACCACAATAATAAGCTACATTGAACTATGACAGGTCACATCGTGTTAGGAATATGCCTGAAATTAAACCAGAAGCAAGAGTTCTGGTTGAGCACATGTACTTTCATAGTAGTGTACGAAATACATCGAGATACATGAAATATCTATGCCCACAGGAAGATTTGTGGAAGTATTTACCTCCATGTGGTCATGTGTAAATGAAAAATATGAATGAAATGAAAACATGTGTTCAAGGTTCACCACTTACCATGTTGACAAACACATATACCCCAGCTTAATATCTACTGCACAAGAATATAACTTCTAATCTAATCTCCGGGTAATGGACTAGATCAGTCAGAGTGGTTAAACCTCTTCTGAGATTGGCTTTGTATTTCCTTTGTCTTGCAATTACTGTATACCATTGAGTTGTCAATCTATGTATGTTTGCATCATTTGTGCATATGTATGTACTTTATTGGAAGTTTGACTCGTAAGGGAAGATGTTAGCTTAGTGTTAGCTATTTATAGCCTCGGGTTGCTTCGGCTTATCTCGGGCGCGCTAAGATGTTCTACTTGTATGATGGTGTAACGTTGCTTGTAGGCAGATGTTAAAATCGGGGTTACTTGATAACACTACATTTATGATCTAGCAAGAATATAACTGTCAGCTTCAGAGCAAAAAAGATATATTATATGGGACATGTTGATAGTTGAAGCAATTCCCTCTCACTTTCGACACCTTTGATCATTGTATTTTTAATTGAATTCACGCAGGGTCGGTGGCATTTAGTGGTTGTATGTATGGGTTTGGGTTAGATGCAATTGTGTGGTGCAGGGATTACACTTAATCATCAATATTACACGAGAAATGTTGGTATAAACAAAAGCTGCATTAAAATACGCATGTTCATGCCGTCGGCTAAGAAAAGGCATGTGACGTCATAGGCTCAGCCTTAACTCAAGCAGTGATCAACTGCTCATTTTCGCTGGTTCCCGGCGTCCCTTGCGAATGGCAATTAGAACGCAGGTAACTCGTAATAGCCTTATTGTTCCACTGGGCCTGGATTCCGACTTGAAAGCACGTGACTAAGTGACGCAATTTGAAAACATTCTAATATTCACTTTCCGTAAACAAGTCTTTATTTCTGTAATAACGCCATGCCCATACAGTCTGCCTGCTTAGACTTAATATTTGAGATGGATTTGGCATTTCTCGCTGTTTTTGTGCAAATTGGTAACATAAGAAACAGTTTTTTATTCGCCCAACTGCTAGATAAATTTTAATCATCTGCATATAATAAATGAAATAGCCTTACTAAATATTATATCAATATATATACAACTGGTGCCTGGCCTTGTAAAAATGTAGTTGTTTAAAGAAACATACAGAAATATGCTGCATGCCATCTGACATTGGTGCTTTATTACTTTTTAACTTTAATACGTTTTGGCAAATATAAATCTGATTATCAAATTCTTACCAATGAAGCTCAGAATCAGACTTAACATACGGTCATTCGTGAACTGAGTCAAAGAATGTTTCTTATACATTTCTTGCTCATTTGCATACAATATTCTTATACAATTTGTTTATTAGATTCTTATAAGAATAGTTCGTAAGGACGCAACCTCTAATTTAAAATGTTCTGGAATCACAGACAGCCATTCTCATTACACAATAGATGTTTTAAACACTGGTTATTTTGGTCGGTATTTTTTTTAGAGATGTAGTCTTTGTCATTTGTTTTGAGAATGACATGTTCAGCATTTCATCAAATGTATTGACAGCATCAGACGAGATATACTTGCATCATTCCTTATCTGCTGGTCTAGAGAAATACTAGTTTATACACTGTATCCACCTGGATACATAGACACTCACTGCGAATCGTGTACAGTTTAACAATTTCAGTTAAAACTGAATAGTCGGCCAATTTTAACGAGCAATTGACTTTGTTGGGTTGTCAAAAATTGGAACTCTCTTATTTTTATATACTAGTATTATTATCGGTTCTGTATTTCACTTTTTTGTGAAATTTATTTGTTTTTCCATTTTTTTTCTTTCTCATTCTATACGTATCGTCACCCACCCACAGAAATAGTGACTCACCCCTTATACTTTGTTTCTAGGTATGTGACTCTATGGCAGGAACGTCACCATATAAAGAATGGTTGCTAAAGCCGACAGTGATGTCGACTCGAGAAATGAGTTCCGAACAAGTCGTTCAGGATGTCCACCCTATTCCAGTAGTTTTCTACAACGCAGCTGGATTTAATCTAGACTGTTAAAGTTTTTCTTAGTCGCTGTTATCACGATTTTCAAATCAATTATTTTAATAATTTACATTTTTGTTCTACAGATACATTCCATGTATAAATATAATGGAATATAACACGTAGACAGACAAGAAGTTAATTCAATTATATCTGACATATTACTATTACTTTTGTAAATCGGAACCACAAAAGACATTTTGGCTCATTATTATATTGAGTAAATATTAGTAAAAATTGTCAAAAACACAGCATGATATATTTATGAAATATCCTTTCCATGTAAAGACTCTTTGATTGACCATTTCTTATCAGTGTGGTAACCTTACATATTTGTAATGCCACAACTATTATTTCATTACAGAGTTATATAAATTACTTCTGTAATTTAAACGAAACATTTTAAAAAATATACCGGAAGCGATGTCATACCCGTACCAACAAGAAACACGATCAGGTCAATTTTGAAATAAATACTGTAAAACATGTCTTTTTAGCTAGCATGTTATTTTAGCTAATTTAGCTAATTTCGCCAAATTAAGATGTCGCTAATTAGAATAGAGTACATTCTCACAGTAAGATTATTGGTACTTTAGCTAAATTAAGATTCAGTTAATTCATGCATTGAGTCAAATTCGCTAAAATGGCATGTAGCTATTTCAAAGTGTTTTTCCAGTAGTTCATTCTAGATTTAACGACTTTCTTGTGATAATGTTTACCACATTTATCTGTGGTGAAAATGACGTACTGTTAACAAATAACGTAAATGTATTTTAAAGAAGCTCGTCGCGCAAGTCATTATACTAAAGAAATTCGCGCTCACTGATTGAATACAAAACGAAATGGATGAATTAATCATATAGAGGGCGCGCTGACAGATGCATATGAGCGATGTACTAGTATGTGATTTTAAAAAAACTGGTATCATTGCATTATCATTTCATAAAACGAGTTGCTATCTTGGCTATTTTGAAAAAAATCCTTTGTCTCTTGGGCAATCTACATCGTATTATTAACTGGAATATAAGCTCTACTTAAAGTAGCTGACATGGTATATTTTTTATAATTTTGAACACGAAGTTACTTGATTTTATTCGCTTACAAATAATTTTTCATCTAGCTGGCTTATGTTTGTCATCCATTGGCAAACAACGAAACAGACAAATATGATTTTAGAAGGTTGTTCCTTTCGTGACTGCAGTAAACCTATTGGTAACATACAGGGACGCCCCAAGTGTTTGTCGAAATCAACATTAACATTATAGCCAGTGTGCCTTTAGTGAGGTATCCGTCAACCTGGGCAGATTCAACCTTACAATGCTTCCAAGAACAGTAATGAACCCTATATCATGTGCATTCCATCTCATAGTCCTTATTGTTATATATAACCATGGTATCAACACAGTAGACGCACTGAAGTGAGATAATGTAGCACTATTTGAGAGCAAAACCAAGTCTCGTGAAATTCTCGCGCTCAACGAGATCTTGTCGGCCTTTTGCATCTAAGGTCTATTATTCAATGTACAGGAATCTGCGTTAAAGTATTGCCCGTGATTCCGAGCCACGCCAGGCCTCACCACACACACACGCACACCAATTCATAGAGTGATTGAATTCTTCTTGCTAGAGCTGTAGCCATATACTTTTTCGAGTAGCATTTCTCTTGATTTGATA